GATGCTACTAATATTTCATCTTTTAATGCCCGTATGTAGAGTTGCGTAAGCGGTTGATACACAGTTAGGTGTAAAATAGTTTAGAAAAAGAGAACCACATATTTTTACATTGAAATTGTATGACTGAGGTGCTGTGGGCATTGTGAGGGGGATATGGGTGTTGCTGGAGCAGATGTTTAGTTTTTACTGTACCGAGGACTTTGTCGGCCAGGGTCGGGGTCAGGGGGTGCGCCAACTGAGGAATGGATGGATATAAGAAGACAAAAAGCTGTGAGGCTCACTTCAAGTAAATTCTGCAAGTCTAAATGACTGTTTTAAACCAAATTATGTCATAAATAAATATGTACTCACTCTTAAAAGCATCAATTGAACCAATCAAGTTTACAATAACTGGTTCGTGAACCAGCTTTTTCTCCAAAGCATAAGCTACCGCTACATGAATGTTTAAAATCCTTCTTTAAACGCCACCTAGTGGCCAGGTCCAGGTGCTGCGGCTTGGAGGAATGAGTAGGGGGCGGGCCTCAACCACTGCAGCAACTTCCAAAACCCACCAGGTGGCGGGAAGGAGGGGATCCCAAAAAGCGGTGAACTATGATTGTAAAAGAGTCGATCACTGTATTCATCTGAGCACCTTAATGGCGGACGCCATAGAGCCTCCGCCGCTATTATCCGACACTACAGGATGCCTTCCAAACATGTCCGCCAACAACGCCAAAATAGATTGAAAAATACTGACATGAACTGCAAAACGTTTCAAACAAAACAAACAAGAGCACTCCGCTTGTTTGTTTGTCCGACGTCTCCATCCGTTCGTCAGTCTGCATCGGTGAACTCCTGACCTCATCCGACCCACAGATAGGGGAAAAAAGTGACTTGTAGAGAGTGGGAGAAAAAAAAATAATAAAAGCACCTTCTGGGGAGCGCTCAACTTACCTGTGGAGCCAAAGCCCTCTGCACCTTTCTGAGCACGCTCACTGTTGTCACTTCCTATCTGTGGAATTTGAATGCTGGCATCTGAAGCGGGACTTTTTGATTGGGGAAGGAGTAAAAAAAGGGTGTAGATTTAATATGAGGAGTTGTTTTCTATGTAAGTTTCTTGTTTTTATTAATTTTACTTTTATGTACTATTGCTGTTTATTTGATTTCTTTCCCCTTCTCTCTCCTCTGAAAGATGTTTATTGTTGAAATGATGAAGGATGAACATTTCAAGCTGTCTCTCCCCCAGGTGGGGTTAGGTTTGGGGTTCGGGGGGAGATGGTCCAGATGGGTGGAATAAGGCAGGTGGTGACTTGAACAGGGTTCTCACACAGGACTGGAAATCTGCACAACTTGAGGAAAGAAAAACCCACCTCCTAGTTTCAGCTGACAATTGATCGAAATCTTAGATGATCTGAAGAAATCACGCCACCTTTCAAAAAGTGTAGATAAAAAAAAAAATGAAAAAAGTCCAATTCTACAAGAAAGTGTTGAAATCGCGTCTTAATGCAGCTGACAGCCACCATTTCTCTATGCAAACATATTTTCACCCTCTAATTTTTACAACATAAAAAAAAAGAGGCACGGAGACACAATATCCAGTATTCTTTTAATTATGAACATGCGTAGATATTGAGCTTTAATAAATCTACAAAACATTTTGGCTCCTTTTTACATACACACGAAAGCAAGATTTAAACATTCACTCCTTAAGGTCTCAAACAAAACATTTTAGCGGAACTTGAAGGCCGCCGCTTAACCTGTCATTTAAAGTGTAAATAGATAACACATTTCCATTTTCTGGATTGAATCCCGTTTTTAGCATAAAATTACAGTGGCCTCACCGTCGGAAACCTTGTGTGTGCTTTCGACTTACAGATTTGGTAAAGCAAAGGTGGAAAGTGTGAAACAAAGACATGTTTTCAACACTTGATCCCAGTGTAACTTACCGAAACAATGGGTGGATTTGCGTTTTTTTTTCTCCCCTGTGTGGGTACCTGTTTGAAAACCACAAGGAACGCCAGTGACGGCGTGATCACGTGTGTACGGAAAGAAAAAAAATCTTGACTTGAGAACAGACAACGGCAGGAAGGAAATGCAAGACCTTCTTGAATCAAGATGGCAATACTTAGGCGACGTCTTTACAGCTCATCCCTGCCTCTCTGTCCTTCTCACCGTCACAGCCTTTTTCTCCCATGGTCCTCGGCGGTTCTGCTTTGGCCGCCATCACCCGCCTTGTGGGACTCCGAAAATCGTCACGACTTCCTTCTGTTTTCTTCTTCTCTGTGGTCTTTTTAATCCACGTCTGTTTACTTTGCTCTTTCCCGACATCCCCGCACACCAGAGACAAAACACATACTTCTATATATAAAGCTCTATACACTGTATATGTACACATTTAAAAAAAAAAAACGCAAAAACGTGAAAACCTCCGAAATGCAGACGCTCGCCCATGCACCTGCACACCGTCAGGATACGCGTGTGCGTCTTTGTGTTGCTGATGCAGTTTTAAGACAAAAAAAAAAAAATCACCAGTTTACCTCTGGAGCTCTCAGCCATAGCAGACTTTAATCTCAGCTCTGCAAGCAGCTTTCTGGACTGCTGTGGCTGCCGTTACAAAGCAGGTTAATATACATATATATGCATACATATATATATATATATATGTGTGTGTGTGTGTGTATAAAAAAAAAAAAAGGTTCGTTTTGAGGGTCAAAACGGCCATTTTGAACACACACACAGTGCAGGGCTTTTGCAGAAACGGGACGCAAGCCGAGAGTTCATGTCAACTGTCTTACCTCAGAATCATATTTACAGAGCAGGGGAAGGGGCGGGGCTGTCACAGGACCATAGCAAACGTCTACCGCCATTTTTGAAAAAAGGCAACAACAAAAAAACAAACAAAAAAAAAAAAAAAGATAAACCACCTCTTGATTGTCTCTGGTGTTGTTGGGCGAAGATGGCTTACAGAACTTCTTCTTTTCTCAGTTTCCGGTATAAATATATAAATATATAAACTGTACATTACGAAATAGAAGCACTATCAAAGTTTGATTGTTAGGTGTGCACTCGCAGCATGAGGTATTATTCTTTATTACTCTTCATAACTCGGATAAATGAAAAGGTGAGAACAGATTTTAGAGGGTTTGTAAGAAGAAAAATAAATAAATAAAAACACAAAATAATGCAGTAGCATCCATCGAAGTCAAAGAATATACCCGCCCTTCACCCCCACTCCACTCCACACACACACCCACACCCAAGACCTCCTACCCTCAGTCCCGCCACCTCCATGCAAGCCGATTGTCCCTTACACCCTGAACTGCCCCGTGTCGGCGCCAGCTTCCCCCTCATGTGTTCAAAGTGCCAATAAACTTTGTGAATTCCTAACTGTGACCCAGAAATAAAGATGATTGCACATCAACTACTGTAAAGAGGAAAAGAAACCAGACTGATGATTAAAAATGAGGAAAAATATGGATATCCTAATAAAAGATTTGTAATAAAACAAGACTGAACTGAACTGCTGAGTGACGTTCTGTTTTTGTGTCGGTTTTTCTCCCGGTTGAGTTCGTTCCCAGTTGTCCAGCGAAGGGCAACCAGGACCCAGAAATGGTTTATGCTGCGCAATTCCTTCTGTGTCAGCCTTTGATTTTTATAGACTTGGGTGTGAAAGGATAGAAAATGTGAAACGCTTTTTGTTTGGTTGGACTGTGACGTTTGTAAGACCGTAATACGTTACTCTTTCAGACGAGGACGGCAGAAACCATCGACACCGTTCTTGTCGGAGCTAAAGAATGTGAAGGAGCCTGGTTGACCTTTGACGTCTTTCCTTTTATTTAAGCATTAAGTTATTTAAGCATCTGACAATAACTTCAAAATAGCATTTGAAAGACAAAATCATGCATTAGCAAATGTTTGACACAATTTTTGTTGGATTTGAAGTGTATGCTACGCACTCCTACCTTTTTCACACAAGTTTCCCAAACACAAATTGTGTGTTAGTGGTGCAACTAGTCTAAAACAATAAAATAAGAAGTAAATGTCAAGAGGTCACAGTGATTGAAACATTGCAAACTATTGTAGTGATTGATGCCAGATATATTGACCTATGTACAAAATATTGATATCAGTCCAAAGTTTCATAGCGGTGCATCCGTATCGCAATAAGTTTACAGTACATATTTGAGGCATTTTGGTTGAGCAATTTTTTAAAAATTTGCACCTGAATTTTGTTTTTTATTAACTCCCCGAGTCATAATTATCCATAATCAGGCAATAAGTGTTGCAAGGACGGCCTGACCAAGACAAATTTACCGATGGATTTAACTGAACTCCCGAGGATCTTCAGAACCTCAGAGATTTATATTTTTTTTGGATCCATCCACTGACTCCTATTCTCAATAAAGTGTTCTCTGACTTGCTTTGGGTGTTTGTTTGTCTTCATGCTGTAATGGCAGCCAGCACTCTCCACTCAAGTCCATCTCCTTTCACCTAATTGTGAGACGACCAGCAGCAATCGGCTGGACTTCTGTTCAAATAGGTTAGTGACTTCAAAGGGGGCGGGGGGTGAATATTTATGCACTTATTTTATGCTAAATGTAATTTTGTAGAAATCGGTTTTTACTCTAACGTTAAAGTAAAACGTTGATGTCAGAAAAAAAATGCCTAATTTTGTTCAACATGACCAATCTGTAAAAACAATTAAAAAAACAAAAGGTGAAGCATCCAAAGGGGTGAATACTTTTTATAGAAGCCAGCCTCAGGACAGCGGCCAGGTTATTTTCAGAACTGCTCCTGCTTCGTCCAGGCACAGGGGACCCGCACTCTGATCATTCCAGCTCAACCAAATGCAATTTCACACGATGGTTCGGCTCTCCAGAGAAAGGATGTGACGAAGTCTCCGTTTTGATAAGTGCCTCTCAATTAAAACTCACTCGCACGGCGTCCTTCCAGCAAGCGAAAGCTTTTCTTATATATAACCATTTACAAAAGAAAAAAAAAAAAAAAGAGATCACAGTAGGAACCGAGACTCAAAATACTGTATTCTTTCAAACACGCAGGTCAGTCAGTGTACAAGGTTGCTCTAAATAAATTCGGTTGCTTCATGGAGAACAAATTGGATGAGACAAATTACAGCGGGAAGATGCAATCAGACGATGTTCAGGGATTTATACCGGATCAGACCGGACTCAAAACTGCCAAAATGTAAAAAAGAAAAAGGAACCGCTTAGGACCATGAACAGTGACAATAAAAGAAAGAAAAATCATATTGCTTATGGGCACAAAAACTACTTCAATCAGTCAGTTTCATAAAATCAAATGCTTGTTTTGCAGCCGTCTTGTAGGTACATAAATCCTGATGGCTGGCAATTATCCAAGACACTTAATGGCAGTTTTTTAACCACACGTCACTCAGAAGAATCCCAAATAACTAAAGCGTTTCAATTTGAATTAAGTTTGATGTAACCTATTAAAGCAGGACTAAAACCAATCTTCAGTTTCCTCCATCACATTCATCTATGGATCGACTGAAGGCAAATTCAATAAAAACAAAGAACTTGATACTTCAAATACAAACGTTTCTTGCTGTACAACGCAGTCAAATGAGATGTTTGTGAAATGAGTTCCTCAAGTTAAAATAAAAGCAATACAGATGCTTTAATGGTTACTGACCTCCAGTTGACCCCAACAGATCTTACAGGTGACACTGAAGTGCAAAACATGTTTTGAGGAATTTTACAAATATTTTTTGTGGTTTTTTTTCCACTGAATTTGTAAAAAGCACAGATTAGGAGACTTAAAAGCACCAAGAGGACTAAATCTCACTTGGCTCTGGCAGTGGGAAGGCTTTTATCTTCAAGCCAAAACTTCATAGAGAATAATGCATCCTGACCCATTTGTGGGCAAATGGTATGCAAGTTTGTTTTCCCTCAGAACAGACCCCAACAATTTCAATTTAAGACATTTGAATTTGAGTTAAAAACAAAAACTGAACCTACAGCAGACAGCACAGGAAAATTAATTTACTTTCAAACACGCGCATTAAAGCATTGTGGTTATGATACAGAGCTTCAGCACACCTTAGTGTCGTTTGAACAGATAAAACAAAACCCCTCAGCATCCAGCAGAGGGCGCTGCGAGCCTGACGCAGGCCCGCACAAAGAAGCATCTCGCCCAGCAACCATTTCTCTCCGCAATTATCAGACGCTTTGAAATAAAAGAGGTGAACCCATTCGCTCCGAGGCGAGGCCGCCTCTCATCATCCAGCGAGAGTAATGAAGCCCCGGCCAGTCGCGCGGGTTCACGTCTGACGGCGTTGAGGAGGCGCGTGGCGGCGGCCCCCGCTTCCCTCGGTCTCTCTCAGGGCGGGAAATAAAAACGGTTTTCTTCAGGAATCCGTTCGTTTCCACACAAACCGTGAAGCGCATCTCTCTCTCTCTATGTGTTTTTTTTTTTTTTAAATCAGTGTTTTCAGTTTTGACTAACGCTTTCCTCTTCGATGAGACGTGGATGTGAGGACTCCCCGGTCCCGGGAGCCTGACTGATCATTTGCAGGTAATTTGTCACTGTAATTAGCAGGTAGGCACATGAACATGACGCACGGTTCAAACATTGTATAAAAATATATTTAAGGCCACAGCCCGCCACTCTTTGTGTTGGGTTAAAACACCAAGAGATAGACTGTAATGGATTTAATACTTAAAACATTTGACCAAAGTACCTCCGTGAGTGTATTTCTCAAACCCCATCGTTCTCACTGACTGCTCTACATAATCTCCAGAAGCATGAAAATGTGCGGATTTGAGTTTGTAGCCCAACACTTAGCATCAATAATTGCGACGCACAAATATGAAAAACATAACACCCCCGGGATTCTCTCAAAGTTCTTCTTCTTTCCGCCAGATCGGTGAAAAACAGATCTGACAATCGCGTCCTAACGTTTCAGTGCAGGTGGCAGTTTTCTCCTCGGTGTGAGTTAAAGGAGTGATTTTAGGAGGGAACGGAAGAGGAGGAGGAGACTTCCTTCTTCCCGTGGTTTTCTGTCCATTCATCCTGACAGGCGAGCATCATCAAGAGGTCAGAGGTCTTCAGAGAGCAAGGAAGAGGATGAGGACGACAATCATGATGGCGACCAGCACGCCAATGGCGCACCACTGTCTCCGACCTGGAGGGGGCAGCAGAGAGGAAACAATTATTGCTATAACCTGCTGGATTACGTTTTCTTCATGGTTCCAATGTGAGCTAGAAAAGTACAGAATTAAATTGGATGTTTTTTTCCCCCTGGTTTGATCTGCTATGGAAAAACTAAACGTATATGTAAAATATTTATATTCCCACCTTTTATTCCCTATCTAGATGTGTAAAAGTTTGCATCTTCCTTTATGTCTAGTTTCCTCTTTCCTCCTGTTGCACCTTTTCTTTCTGCCCTTGTTTCTCTTTCCTTCAAATCTTTCCTCCCTTCTTTCCCTGCTCGTTTCCCCCATTTTTCATCCTCGTCTCCATCGTCCTTTCTATCCTTCCTAGTGTCATTTCCTCCTTCATGTCCTTCCTCACTTTTCTTAATTCCCAGCTTCTGTTCCTCCTTCCTGACTTCTTTCACAATCCCTTCATATCTTCCTTGTGTCCTTGCTTCCTTCTTTCTACTATCATTCTCCAATTCTTCCTTCCATCCTCCCTTCTTTCATTCTAGTACTGTTCACTACCTACCTTCAGTCTTTCTTTCTATTGACATTCACCAATCGTCTGGAAAAGCACGATAGGAGCTACTTGAAGATCAACCTCAAGTGTCGAAGCACAGAGTCAAACGGCGTAAAACAGATTGGTTTTTTTGGGAGAATGGCTTCCCGAACCCCAAGAAAACGGATGGTAGATGCTTACTGCTGGTCATGTGAGAAACCTTCTCCAGCTTCTTCAGGACTGAATCCATGCGGGATGACGTCTGGTCCATCTCATCTCCAAAATCCTCCAACATGCTACAACAACAGGAGACCAGATAAACAAACTAAACCGAATGACGTCAAAACACAAATATGTGAAAGGAGCCAGCACAGAAATCTGGGTGGGAGCAGAATTGGAGACAACTTAATCCAACTGCTTGGAAACTAAGAACTTATTTTCTTATATGCTGACAGATTGTGCTGCATCAACACCCACTGTGGAAGTTTTTACAGCTCACCTGTTTCTTCATTTTTGATTAGTCATGTTGGGATAGAAAATATTAGCAAGCTCCACAAATTCACCTCCGCTCCTGATATGAATAATGACTGTATTTTCCAGACTATAAGTCGCATTTTCGAGGGAAATTTATGTGATAAAATCCAACACCAAGAAAGAGACATGTCACCTTGAAAGGCAATAAAAATAGAATAGAGGCAACAACAGGCCGAATAATTGTACGGTATGCTAACATTACATGACACATGAACAACGAACTGAGAACGTGCCTGGTATGTTAGCATAACATATTAAGAGTTATTCAGATGACTAAATAACATGCTCATAAGTTTACCAAACTATCCGTGTCACTAAATCACTAAATGCAATAAAATCTTTGTCCTCGATGTCACTTGAAAACAACTCTACTAACTCCGAAGGTTGAATAACGCAGGCCTAGAGCGCCCTCTTGCAGTTTAGTGTGAAAATAACATGTGATGTGATAAAATGATGTGCGAACTTCCAAACATAAGTTGCTCCCAGGTATAAGTCGCACTACCGGCCAAACTATGAAAAAAACTGCGACTTATAGTCCAGAAAATACGGTAACTATTGATCACAACCATAAGGCTGCTTCATGTTAAAATAAATGTATCTGTTTTTGCCAGTTTATAACAATGGATCTTAACAGAATCACGTAATCTGGAGCTTCCCTTTAGCAGAAAATCCAATTTAAATATACCAAGAAACAATCTTTATATTTTCCTCGCTGAATCACATTGAAGCTGGTTATTTGGTCAAAGTTCATTTAGCGTAAACTTCAACAAATTCTTGAGAAAGCGGAAACCATCCAGATGAGCAGCGTTCTGTAGTCAGGAGCACTCACACAGCCTGCTCGTCCAGTTCGTCTCCGATACGTCCAGACATGTCTTTTAGCACTCTGATGCTTCCCGACACCAACTCCAGCTGCTCATCCTGCTCCTGTATGATCAACTACACCCACAAACACAAACATGTTTCAGTCTCATCAATGACTAACATCCACTCTTCGGATGTTTACTTTAGCAACCTTCTACAGTCACCTTTCCCCAAATTGCTGCACGTAACTGTGAACTAAGAGCTCCTCATAAAGTGATGTAAGTATTTCATCCAAATCTTATTCTTTGTCACTAAAAAAAGCAATACAAGTTCTGATTGAGCTCAGAAACTACATTCACTGCATAAAGAACGAGCAGCTTCTTTTTCTAATTCATCTCTGACTTTACTACAAACTTACAGGAAGTGTAACAATGACACACTTCCATCGTGAACACCCCTGTCAACCTACGCCACAGGAAGTACAAAAACCCCCAAACATCTAATTCAGTCTGATGCTGAAAGGAATCCTTCACTTCATTCACAGTGTGAAAGCAGAAGCAGATCTTTAACCCGCAGAGTGAGTCCCACGTCCTCTGTGTGATACCTTTCATAACATCTCTTAGTAATAACAAAACAGAAAAGAATCGCATCAAAAATTTTAATCAGGAAGCGTTTACATTTTTTTTAAGTTGGGTTGCCTTTTGTATAAAATACTGCATATGCTGTTCCATACGTTAAACTGATGAAACTTTAGCTTTAATAACATAAAGCTACATAATTTTTTAATCAGTAATACTTTCATGACAAATTAATGTCAAATCATGATTTCTCGGTTAATGTCAAGTTGTCATAACAAAGACATTATGAATAATGTCAACTTTGTAATAAAAGTGTCATGATTTACCGAATGACACTTTATGACAAAAGCCATAAATATTCATGAAATATTCACAATCTGTCAAATAAAGTGTTACCAAAAATTGCATGCAAATTTCTGTTCATCATGTTTATATGTTAACATATTTTGTAGACAACTTTAATTTTTGCCCAATTTCTAATGAGCTCTTAAAAATATAATTTAAAGGGGAAAAAAGCTGAGCCCTCTACCCCCCTAAAGATTAAAGTTTGACAATATACCAAACATAAATAGCAAAAGGTTTCTGTATTATTATCGGCAAAACTTCTTATCAGATTTAGAAAAAAGTTGGAAATTAAAACTAAGAAAAAAACTTCATGGGACTCTAAGGTAAACATTATATGCAGTACTTTTGACAAATATACAAATAGATGTCTGCAAATTCCAATAACTATAGCTTTGTTTTATTTTCTTTGCAACTTAAACAATAGAAAACATTTTTTTGAACAAATAGTTGATTCTTTCCTGTCCAATTTGCACATTCAGCCTTTTCCTTTACCTGCTGCTGCTCCTGCTGCTCCTGAATGTACCTGGAGTTGGCCGACACCAGGTGAGCCTCCAGTCCAGTCGAGCGGTCCTGTTCCTTTAAAGCCAGCAGGCCCAGAATAAACACACGTGAGATCCAAATACGAAAAAAAAAAACGCAGGACAAAAACAAAGCTGTGCCGTTCTGAACAATCCACGGAGAAATCTGTGGAGTGTTTAGTGTCTTGAAGGAAGCGCTGACCTGTCTGTTCTTCTTCTCTGCCTGAGCCACAGCGGACGGGCTGGACAGTTCATCTTTCATCTCCTGCAAGGAAACTTTTTCCATTATATCACCAATAGCAACGCAGCAATCATTTTAAAAGTTTGCCTCAGTTCACAAATTCCATTCATGAGTTTTCTCTCTGTTGTCCCAGTAAAACCAGTAATAAGCTCCTCTCTGAAAGTTGTCTCGTTTGACTTGGTTCTCCTCAGATCTAGTTTATAAATGGTTGCTTTACTTTTGACTGGTTCTCGAAGCTGACTCATATTTTTTTGTCTTTATCTACGTAAAGAGACGTGTATCGAGAACTCGGGGCTGCTTACAGTAAAAACAGAAAAAGTGCCGTGCAGCTCAAGTCAGTGTGTTTAATCGCCAATACTTAATGGTAAAATTACAGCCGGCTTTGTTCATGCGGTTCTCTTTTTTTGTCATGGCGACCCCATCGAAGGTGATCGTCTGCTTTGAAAGTAGCCACACCTTAGACCAAGAGATGACGTTTGCACATGTAAAAATAAAGACATTTACATAACATCTAAACAACAAAAATGTATTTTGAACGTACTGAACTCCGGGGTTTCGACAAGTTCTCCAGACAGTTTTTTTTGTCCTTTTAAGCGAACTTTTAATGGATAAGTACTAGACTTTATGAAATAATTTATCACTCTTTGAACAAGCAACATATGGGTGGATAAATGAGAACACAAAAATGTCACTAATATCCTTACAAATGAAACTGCAAAAGTTCTACAGACAAATTTGTGGCGATGAAGTTACCTGAACGGACTTCCTGGTGCGCTCTACAAAGTCTCTCCTCTCCTGGAGTTCATTGTCGCCCAGCCGGAACTTCCCTGGATTTGACTCCACAATGCCTGAACCAGTTAAGGACCTATCAAAAATGTTTACATTTCAACATATTACATTACGCCTTCCTTTTGTTCCAAAAATGCTAGAGAACGTTGTTTCTCAAGCAGTTATGCTTCAATAAGCATCATTTTTAAGGACAATATCAGTCTGAACCAGACTGATTCAGAAACCAGTCATACTCCTCATGGCTGGTTGTCCTAATCACTTTCAGGCTTAACACAGTTCATCCAGTTTAAATCCCATTTTTCAGTTTGTTTCCTCTGGAGGTGTGCCCCAGGATTCCCTATAAGGGTCCCTTTAATTCATTATCGACCAAGATCCCTGTTCTTCAAATATTTCACTGCTAGTCAGATGACACCCGACTATATTTCCTCCAAATATAATTTCTCTTTCCACCTACTTCCCAGCCTAAAACGCACCAGTTCATACTGAAATTTTCAAAAGGTTTGTTGCTTCCGTTTCTATTATATTTGGATTATTTTGCCTGCTTTTGACAGGTTAGGTTGGGTTTTTTGAGGGACATCCTCGTTTAAAATGGTTATTTTTTTATATCAAAGACGACCTACTCATGATAATCTATAGCAGCTGACATAATTGGTGTTTCATTTAAAAAGCAGAGAGATTATTATATCTGTAAAATAAATTAAATAAATAAACTAGATGTTTATATATAACATTTGTGTGTACCCCATAATATATTTCCCCATATCTAGTAGTACATCTAGTAACGTGTGAGGTTCTGGATTTAAAGGATACTGATGGTTTCACTGAGGTCCTCCAGGTCCCAGTCGATGGCCCTCAGACAGTTCCTCAGCTCGTTGGCACTCCAGTCCAGCTCATCTCGGCTTACCTGAGACCACAGACACCAACGTTCACCAACCAAACGGCTACACAATGTTTTAAAACGCAGCATTTCTGGCGCAATTGTGACAGATACTACAGGTTCTAAAAGACAAAGAAAACTGATGAAAAACACACCAGATTTATTAAAACAGGTCACCATTTTCTCATTTTGTACTTTTTAAATAAAATTTAAGATTAAAAAAATCACATTCTTCTATGTATTTTGTAACGGTTTAATGTCATGAATGAACACAAAGTCATGCATAAGTATGAAATAGAAAGGAAAATGTCTGCTTGTTTGGGTCGGACCAAAAGTGGACTTTTTTTTTTCTCTCGTTTGGTCCATAATGCTCAGCAGCAGTCTTTGGTCAGAGGCTTCTTCAGAGTGGTTGCAAGACTGACTGCTATCAGAGACCCTCCCTGCTTACAACATGACCATCCACAACGACTCTTTCAAGAATGGTACGAGCTGCAGAACAGCTCACCTGCGTGCCCTCCTGTAACAGTTCTTCCCATCGATCAAACAGACCCCGGGCCCGAGACAGGGCCTTCTGCACCTCCCTGGAAACCAAAGACACACATGGCATCAGCATTACAATGCGGAACATAGCAGCTGATACACTGCACCCTTCATAGACTCTTAGCTGTGTACAGATCCGCCTCCAGCTAAAAGAAAACACAAAATCACTTCACCGCACTGACTCGCAGCAGTCAGGCCAATTACATTTCAAGCCAAGTAAAACAAAAACGAACCAGGTTATGTTAAGCGTGTCTTTTAATAACATTCGCAAGCATAAGCACATAAACTATCCCTGTGCCACTGTGTGTGTGTGTGTGTATACAAGCGAGCAAGCTAGTTACAGCTAGCTAAGTGCTAACTCTTCTGGCATAACTCCCGTCAAAGTGCCCCGAAGAGTCCCTGTTCGGATTATCACTAATAATACTTTGAATTTATAAGTACACGTCTTCACAAAAAACAGCTTTTCGGTTTCTTTCTGCTTATTTCTCACCCTTTTACAACGAAAAACGGGTCCTCTATCGACATCGCTTCCTTCCTCTGTAAGCCTCGCGCATGCGCACGGGTGAGGCACAAGCAGACGTCCGCTCCTCCTCTCCCTCCCGACACGTAAACGTAAATTAAACGCACCGACGTAACACAGCGACATCTGGGTGCTGGTTCACTAGTTTGTCTTTCCGTGGCGCGCTTTAGACATTACAAAACTCCGGGGAACAACGGAAACTAAAATTCAGACATGAGATAGTTAACATGTAATAATTTAAAAGCCAACCAGCCCCTCCATCTCCTCCGTACAAGAATAGGACAATGGGCGGAAACGAAAAAGCAGAATGAGGCTTATACTGGTAAACTTGGGACGCATTTACAATTGAAATACAACATAAATAGTCAACTAAATGGCTGCCTGTTGTCAGTGTGCAGCCTTTATTTTTCTCTCTTTTTTAAAAATTTGAATGCATTTATCACAGCACCTTAAAACATATGACAATATTCATATTGAAAAGCGCATTTAATTTTTTTTTTTTACAGGATCTGGCCACAGTTTAATTTTAGTTGTCTTTTTTCTTTCAGCTGCTGGTCACAGACTGATCATCAGCCTCCATTTTCAGCAATTTCAGTGTCCAAATAAGCAAAGCTGATGTTCACATCACTTATCAGATTTTAATTTGTGAATAATTCACAAAAAAAAATATTTTTCCCTCATCTTTGGTATACATGTACATTCCTCTGAGTTGGTCTGTGGCATAAAATCTCACTTAAAAACATCAATTGAGAAAAATGGGGAAAATGTGAGTGAAAAACAAAATCATAGGGTTTCAATAGATTTGGAATGCAGTGCATATCATTTTACATTACATTGGGAGGGGATGCCAAGCTCAGCAAATCCTCCAAATCCCCATCTGCATGTTTCTCACCACACTTCTTCGCATCCTGTCCCACCCATTGTCTTTGTTCCTGTGGTTTATTCTTTCAAATCCAACCCAAGCTGTCCCCAATTCCTTCCTCCCAACTTCATCCTGTTTCCTCCTCTTCCACCCCAACACCCTGTAACAAAAGCTGCAGCAATGAACAGTCATTATGTCTTCAAAAAAAAAAAAAAAAAAAATAGGAGTTGAAATTGCCTTTATTGAGCTACTGTTTAGAAATATTCCTTTTTATAATTCTGGTTTCTTACTTTAATATCACCATCATAACAACATGAGATTATTTATTGTTTTTTATGATTTAGGTTAAAAAACAAACAAAAAAAAAGATTGGAAGCATTGTAAACAATTAAACACTCAGTATCTATTTAACTTATCCAGTTTTCTACATTCCTTGCAGAATTTCTTGAACTTTTCCATGTTTGGTCATGTTACAAACACAAACTTCTATGTTTATTGGAAGCCAGTGTGTTTGGCCAGAGGTGAATCACAATGGGATTTTCAAAATGTTTTATGGATAAAAATTATGCTACAATTTCAAATCTTTGGCCTCTAATTTCAGCTACCTAGTCCCTGCTAAAAACCCCCAAAACAAATCAAAAGAAAGAAAAAACAAACCCACTCCTCTCAGCATGCTGTTTTCTTTTTAATCACCATGTTTAATAGTGGGAATTTCTTGCATGTGTTTGGATATAAGGAACAGATTTAGTTGTCAAAGCTTAACACGAACTGCCTAAAGAAAGAAGGTGCGTCTTTCTTTGCCAATCGAAAATAAAATGCCAGTTGCAAAACCAGAATGTGCAGTCAAGCAGGAAGTCATGCTTCAGATCCGCACCATACACACACGAGATGGTGGAACATGTTAGTTTCCATGTACTTTCCCCAAATAAAACATGAGAGCGAAGCCTTCAAAAACTTCCTACAATGTTGTGAAAGAAAAATTGAAAGGACATAATCTGTCCTTTCCTGAGTGAAAATTTGATCAATAACTTGATGTCTTTTTTTCTTTTTTTTAGAACATTTTAAATCCTGGGATTTACAAATATCATTTCTGTCCAGATTCGTGTCTTTCTGCTCCGAGGAAAACATCAGCCATCCCCAACGACAGTGATGTAGAATATCATCTCTTCTGGGGGAAAAATGAGCAAATGGGCCATAGCATAACAAAAGAAAGTGGTGCAGAGATAACAACCAGAGTGAGAAAGCAGCGCGTCTAAAAATAGATCCATTACGCAGTGGCGCCCTCAGGTCTTCCTTGTGTCGTCAGCGTAGGAAACCAGGAATGAAACATGGCTTCTTTTCTTCCTGTAATACAAAGAATTTCACCAGCACTGATCTCCCTAAATCAATGTTTCCTAGACCCTAAACTCTTTATAGCAGGTTGTGTACATAGATGCTGATACTTAAGCTGAACGTCAACCAATATCAATCATTTCTGAGCATCCAGTTATAATGCAGTAACAGCAGCATTGTTTGTAGTGTAGGCAAGCTGTATTGATTCCTCTGGTTACAGCAATGTGAAACACCTAAAGAATAAACTCATATTTAATTAACACTTGTTTTTACACTTCAGTAGTTTGTAACTTCATTAATTTGTACAAAATGCTTTTGAGAACACAGATTTGAATTTGGATCCTGTGAGCCAATGAGCCAAATGTGTTTGATCATGATCTTCTGAGAGACCTAAGACAAACCATTATCAATATTCATTGGTGATTTTGTTTAAAATCTCATCATGTTGTCAAAAAATAGTTAGGATGCCATGCACCCGAGGTTCCTGGGGAGTTTGGAAAAGAACCAGCCCTACGGCGTCACAGACTCTTCCCCCGTACATCACAGTGGGCATGACACACACACACACACCCCACACACACACACACACACGCGCACACACACACACACACACACACACACACACACAAACACACACACACACACACACACACACACACACACACACACATATTTGTTGTTTGTGTCAAGCCCAACTTGAAATGGGTCAAAGTAAAACAATGAGAAATGACCCATTTCAAGTTGGGTCATTTCAACCCAACTTGAAATGACTCAGAGCAGTTAAGCAAACCTCACATGTTCATGTGATGGTAAGGCAATAAAAAAGGGCCTTTATCCACCCCAGCTGTTCCTCACAAACACTTGGTAAACAGGTACAGTCTAATTGTTATTATGGAGTCAAGATGGCTCTGTTTGCTGCAGTTCTCCAAACACTTGAGCTTTCAAGGTTTTCCATCTTGTTCACTGCCAGGTGTGACAGGATAAACTAGGGTCTGTGTGCACCTTGGTTGCTAAAAGAAACTGGCTACTGTGTCACATTATGGTTATATTCCTGGGTAAAAGATTGTTAAGGGGTTAAACTACTACTACTGCAAGTGTTATGACTAAATAATGACTTCATTTATAAAGGACTTTCAATCAGTGTGCTCAAAACGTTACTAGCAGATAAAGCAAAAACAATGAGGAATAAACCAATACTGTTAGAAAATGATACAATTTAAAACAGAATTATGGCACACAGAATAAAGTGAATGAGTGGGTCTTTAACGTAGTTTTAAAAGCCTCTACGAAGCATGCCTGCATAATTTTACCAATGAATGTGATTGAAACACTGTGATAAAAGGACTTTATTTGTACATCAAGTCTAACCACGCGCACAAAGCAGTTTATGACAGTCGTCAATTTCAGGGTGATTTTGGGAGAATTAGTGATATTTTAGAGGGGCATTGACCATCAAATCTGTCTTTTCATTACTGAGAAGCAGGAAATGATTAGATTGTCAGCCTCTAGTTTGATGGACGTACTTCTAGTTTTGTCAAGGCAGCAACGCTTCCGATGGTTAAAAGGGAAAACATAGCTGAAGGCCATCGGTACATCAGAGAACGTAGAAAGAGACAAAGAGGCAGAGAGAAAACAGCAATGGGCCATGTGCAGAGTTTCCCAACCCTGGTGCTCAAGGCTCACTGTCCCACATGTTTTAGAGGTTCCCCTGCCTGACTCAACCGATTGCAGTTCAACAAACGCCTGTTAATCAGTCATCAATTGAAATCAGCTGGACTGAAGAGAGGAAATACCTAAAACATGCAGGGCAGTGTGCCATGAGGGACCCCATGCCTAACAGCACAACTTAAATCTAGCAGAAGCTGCTAGATTTTTTTAGGAGACTAAAAAAGTTGTCTTTAAGCAGCTCACCGGCCGGCCTGTCAACAAACAATCATTCAAAGACTTTAGTTGAGAAAGAGTGTGAGGGTGTAAGATGGGTCTAAAGTTAGCGGGTGACTCAAACTCCAATCCAAGGTTGCTCAAAATCGAGTGTACCACCACAGATTAAGATGAAAAAGTGCCTTTGACAAGTTTGAAACAATTGCATTTTGCCCAAATAAATAAATCCGTCCAATTGTAAGATTGTGCTGCTGCAATGAAATATTAAATTAGCCTATGGCTTTTTACACATCGTTAGCTGGACCGTCAACAATTGTGTCTGTTTCTGCAAACTGTTTGCATAAAAATTGAAACATCTTCCCATTTTCTATGGTTGTTTTTATTTTCCCCTCACTTCTGGTAATTATTACTAGAAAGCTGCAGCGGAGGTAACTGTTGCAACAGCGTCCGTGTTACTTGCGTGGTTGCTGGTCGTGTGCTATCAGAACTGTTTTGCTGAATCAAGCGAAGGACTTTCAGAGCAGAGCATGAGTCATCAAAACCAATACAGTTGGTCACCATAGCAGAAAAATAATCAGCTGCAACTGATTAGAGACAATTATTCCTTTTGTAAATTTGTATGCAAGCAAATTTACAAAGGTTGAAAAAAAGAAAAAGAAAAAAGAAGACAAAATAAGCAGGGATATGGAGATAAAATGAACCTCGAAACGCTCTGAAATTCTGTTGTTGTTTCTAAAAGTCAACGTCTTCATTGTTTCCCATGTTTCCTCCTTTAATGTCTGCCAGTAAATGCCATGTTTCTGCAACTAGGTCAACTCCCGGCCCTACCAACCAGTGTTTGTTCTTCAGAGAGAAACACAGCTTGGAGAAGAAACAGGCCCCACCCTGCTTCTGTGTGTTCGTACACTGCGCCGCACACTTGGCCGCAGGCAGAGGCGGTGTAAGGATAATCAGACACAACACCGTCTCCATGGCAAACGCCTGGCTGCAGAGTGAAAGTCAAGGGCTTCGCTTTCGCACATCACATGTAATGTAAATCTCCAAAATCTGTCTCTCTGGGAAAAAAAGAAATAAATAAATTTCAAGTCTTTTCACAAGACAAGGCATTTTATTTCCAATCATTTGTTTCTGTCCACAATGAAAGATGATCTTCTATATGAATCTGCTCCTGATCCACAGTTTCTACAGTGTATGAGCAGAAGCATTAAGGTATAGTGTGCTGTTGGAGTTCAGCACTTTGTTTTCATCATATGGGTTCATAAGTACTGCTGTCTGAGAGGTTTTCATGGCTGCAACTTCTTTTTTCTTCCTTTTTCCAACACTGAACAATTGCTTAGCCAGGAATGCTTGTGCTGCTTCTTGGTGACGCATGATTTTCAAAGCCCGCATAAAGAAAAGAAGAAGAAAAGCAAAACATGGAATTAATCTGCATACTTTGTATTTTGGTTTTCATAGATAGTCCCTGATGGTTGAACTATTTGGAAACGAATCACAAAGTTAGTCACAAAGTAGAACAGCATTCAAGGAAGTAAAAATGGTTTTAAAGGGCCAAGTTACAGTTCAGGCTTTTTATTTGCTAAGTATCTGTATTTAAAGTAGAACCAAAGGTCTCTGGGCAGTTTGCAGCTGTCTTTTTTTATTTTTTGTTATTTTTTACCTGTGATTTTGGGGTTGGCAAACACTGCTTTATGTTGACCTGGGAGTCCCAAGATAACTTGAAGGTATACCGTTTTTTTCCTGTGCCTCAAACTTCAGTTCTAGCCCAGATGTCCCGTGGGTTTTAGATCTATTTCTGAATTAAAAATACAAAAAAAAAAAAAAAAAACAGAGAAAGAAATGAATCTTCAGAATCTGACTGCATGCTAATGAGGCAATTAAGTCATTTGATTGAGGTGAGTTTGACTATACACTAGCACAACAACCTCTGAGTTTGAGACCCATGATGTGAAAAAAAGAAAAATAGAATTGGAAAGATCAATGAAACAATAAAATGACATAGAAAAATAATAAAAAATGAGCGTCTTGTGCACTCGATAAAAGCAGACTGGGGTCCCCTTTTCTGACTTATCGTTCTTCAATTATTTATTTTTCCGAAAGAGGCGAATAAAAGCAGATTCGCCAGACTCGTACTCCTTGAACCCAGCCGTTTCGCTGCCTGGTTACGTTTTATTTACACCGGCGACAGCTCCAAATATGGAGCTTGGATGACGCCATCACTGTTGCTGCGCGCGCGTCCTCCGGGGAGGGGAGGAGAAAGAGAAAGAGAGCGCGCGCACTGGCGGACCGGTGTAGGGGGGAGGGGCTGCGGGTTAGCAGTCCGCGTCATGGCTTTTCCACTGAGCGCGAGATCCCTCGGGGCTGTTTTACTACCGGATAGTACTTATAAGGAAACCGTGTGTCTCTGTGTATTATTCTGCGTGTGTTTTTCTGTGTGTGTGTGTGTGTGACATAGTGACATGGCGCATGTGTGTGTTTGACAGAAAGAGAGAAAGAAAGTCCCCGCAGTAACCGGAGACACGTTTTTCTTCTGTCCCACGTAAATTCTTCGAACTGCTGGCCGGGTTTTTACCAGAATGTAAACACTGACTGATGTCTTCTCTTTTTGGTACATGTCGTTTCCTCTCCTGAACAGGAAATCGAACTTACAGCACATCGAAAAAGGATAATAATGACAACAGTAGTAATGCTAATAAAAACTATAATTATTATCATTGTTATTGCTATTACTACTATTGTTAACTATATTAAAATTCTAATGGTTATTATCTCTATTATTATTAATTATTATGATCAATAATAATAAATATTAGACGTATTATTATTATTGTTGTTGTTAATAATAATAATAATTAATAAATAAATTATAACATGCTTTATTATATATATAATAATTATATATATATATATATATATATATATATATATATAATATATATATATATATATATATATATATATATATATATAATATTAATATATATATATATATATATATATATATATATATATATATATATATATATATAATAATTATATATTATATATATATATATATATATATATATATATATATATATATATATATATATATATATATATATATATATATATATATATATATATATATATAAAGTCATTTCGTGAATAGTGTGAATTAAGTATAATATTTCAACACTGGCTAATATCTTCTCAATACAAAGCATCTGCATCATCTCTTTAATGCACAAAGGGAGGAAATGAAGAAGGAAGAGAAAAATGGCCGATAATATAACCGCACTGAATTTAATTCAATTAGTCACCTCTTGCAAAAAAAAAAAAAAAAAAAAATCTAAATAACGACAGATTAAGTGTGAGAGAAAATCGTCAGACGGAACAGATGGTGTGTCTGACTTGGTGTGTGTGTGTGTGTGTGTGTGTGTGTGCGTGCGTGGGGGGGTGTAGCCACAGCAGGTGTGGGAGGCGCCTGCTTGTCACTAACTGAGGAATGAAGTCCGCTTTACGTCAGAGACTTAATAAAACGCCGCCCAACTACTCGCGTACTCTCATTTCTCCGAGCACAACAGAAGACCGACTTCTGAAGACTGAACCCTGACATAACTGATGTGATATTTCGAGGCAAAACAACCCTCACTGCATTTGATACCAGCGTCGACCCGTGCGTAATTACGAGTTTATATATAGATATATATATATAAAAGAAATCAAACAATGAGTGCCACAACAGCAATGGAAGTCAACATCGAAGCCAGGCGGATACTGGCCGTGTCGATCAGTAAGCTGTACGCCTCTCGGACTCAGAGAGGGGGACTGAGACTTCACCGGAGCCTCCTGCTGTCCCTGGTCATGAAGTCTGCCCGGGACATCTACCACTCCTCCCGGGAGAGCGAGGCGCCGAGCGCAGGGCTGCCAGCTCCGGAGGAGCCGATGGACACCAGCTCCAGCCCGGTGCTTCCGGAGCCTCAGCCGGAGCCCCTGTCGGACAGAAACTCGGCAGAGACCGCCGCAGAGGAGCTGGACAGTAAGGTAGATGACTACGATGATGATTTTGACATCATCGAAGAAAAGGAGAACCTGAGCCCGACAAGGCAGTCCAGGAAACGCCGGGGCAAAGCGTCGGCGGCGCCCGACTTCCTTCCCAGCAAGAGGGCGAGGTTGGAGCCCGGGGAGGAAAGGCATGCGGCTCCGTTGGCCAGCTGTCGCGTCGGGGCCGGAGAGTCCCTGGCCACTTTGTCTCTGAATCAAGTCATACCTGCCTTCTGAAAACACGGCTTTCTGAAAAAAAGAGACAAAACAGCCTCTTGTTGGACAGTTTAAAATGATCGTCAACTCCGTGTCAGCACCGAGATGACCTCCACCAGGTCCCGGGACGGAGGGACTGCAGAAGGAGTTGTCGGCCAAACTCGCCTGGACCTGCCGGGGCAGGTAAAAGCCCCGAAGCAAGACGGAGAAAGAGAATGAGGAAGGAGGCCAGAGGGCTGGAAAGTTTGAGGAAGAAACTGAAGGGGAAGTTGTGGATGCCTCTCGTTTCCCTATGACTCATCTTCAGTTTACTGACTCCAAAACAAGCGGCAGCTGCTGAGTCAGACCGTGTGTTTGTGAATCAGCAGCAGCAGCAGGGTGCTCGTCAGAAGCCGCTGACCACACACAGGTCGACCCGTGCAGAAACTCAGAGGCCAGGCCTGAGTTTCAGGGAAGTTTTTTATGACGGGAAAGCCACCGCGAACACTGAAAGAGGAAGGACAGCCGCGGCCCATTCAGCCGCTCTGGTGGACTTTGGGAAATCAATACTACTGCTGCCGGACTGTCCTACATCCTGCACTCACGTGGTGCTCCAACAAACGGGCTCGCGCACGTCGGACATCAAAAACACGACCCCGTTTGGACATTGTTTCATTTTTTATTTATTTTTTTTTTACTGTGATTCATCTTGTTCATGTCTGACCTCACATGTCAAGCTGCTTCTTAATTCTGTGATGAGATGAATGTTTATGTTTCGCAATAAACTTGTCGAAAGACCAAACAGTCGGCCCTGTCCGCGTCTTCATTCAGTCTCGAAAACGACCCACATTCCCACATTTGTGCGAGGCCGCTCAGCTCACAGGGTTAATCCTTTATTAGAGGGCGGAGGCTGGCACGACTCGGCACCAGGAATGACTCGGTGCCGTTAATCTCCCCGCGTACAAAAACGACTTCCCCTCGCAAACAGCTTCCCCTCGGCGTGTCGCTTCCTGTGGATTAGGAAGGAATTCGGAATCACATCCTCAACATGATCTCACCCAGATTTATAAGAGAGACAGAGAGGGGGGGAGTTTTTTGGGGGTCAATGTTACGCAACGTACAGTCAGAACAGCTCGTGCACCAAACGCCACTGCTGAGTGGTGGGGTGGATGGAGGGGGAGAAGGGTCATAAAGCCAGCAGGTGGTGTTTACAGCCCGAGGCTATCTTCATCATCGACTTCCTGCCTGCCGCCTTCAGTCTACACCCTGAAACTCCTGGACGGTAATTATGGCGTCGGTCTGGTTGCTCAGGTTATCGTCATTAACGGAAGGGAACATACGGGTTTTTTTCTTTCTTTTTTTAAGGCAGCAATGAAAAAGGAAATCAGCACCAAATACCCAACAGCCTGTAGACGTTTTAAGCAAAATACAAAAACTTGTACGTAAGTTAGGTCATTTGTGATGCAGGGTAATTAAAGTTAGTGGATATTGTAAAAGCTTATTGACGTTTACTGATAGATAAACATTTTGTTTTTAAAGTTGGAGCTTAGCTAATATGATTCAGCACTGCGTGCCCACTAGATACTTGTCAACTCTTTGCTATCTAGTCATTTCTTTCCTGTGTGACTTCTCAGTTTGATCACACTGATTCATTTATGGACTTTGTTTATTGTTTGCTTCTGTGTGTTGATTTCCTGGAGCTAGTCAAAAACACAGAGTCAATAGTCGTGTGCGAAATATATTTACGGGGAAGAAGTTGGCATTTTTCCTGCTGCGTAATTATAAGTGTCCTCAGCTATTTTATTTCAGCTGTGGAGCCTCAGCAGCGGATCATCTGTGATAAGTAAGGTAAAAGAAGGCACAAAAATAAATGACAAAGCCAATTAAAAACTCAATTCAAAACACAGTAAAACCAGATCAAATCAATCCAGCCTAAAACATGAACAAATGACAAAGACGCCCCTCTTGTTCTGATACCTTTAACTCCTCTTTTTTTCCCTTTGAGTCCTAACAATGAGGAAAATGACTTCTGTTTTGGTAAGACTATGCCCACATAGATGTTGTTTACGTAAATCTTCCAGCTCCATCCCTCACCGGCTAAAGCATTCAAAAACAAAATCTGGGATCTGGGTCAAACCATCTGGGCCCTCAGCCCTGCGGTGTTTCCTTTTGAAATCCATCGAAATCCCCCTTCAAGCTGCAGCGAACGCGATGGCGTTCGTCAGTCTGCCGATCAAAAACGGAAAAAAAATCGTCAAAACAACAAGATTGGCTTTCGGACTAGATTATTGTGACCTGTTTTACTAAAGTGAGAAGAAGAAGAAGAAGAAAAAAAAACCCAAAGAAAATGTGAGAAAAACCAAGGCGTTGTCCTGGCCCTGAACAGTCACGATTAGTCACGAACGCACGCTCTACATCATCCACACAGTCAGATTCTTCATCACAGAGGAATTAAGAGGATAAAAGTCGCTGGTGTTAGTCACCCTCCCTCTCACATTTTTCATGAAACCATAAAACCTACAAGCCCCATCCTGTTTGAAGCGCTCTTGCATTCAGTCGCCAGGAACCCTCGGATGCACGATGTCCACATCGATTTGGCAAATCGATGTGCCTCAACTGCTCCTCGGGGAGCTGCTCGTCTCGCAGCTCCAAGTCATCGGCGGCCAGACTCGACAGAAGTGGTACACAGTGTTCAGAAAACAACGTGTCCCTGGAAGGCGCAGGAGCTCCGGTCAATCAAACGTCATTATGCATGTTTTGAAAAGAGGCCCACTGTGGACGAGTCCAACGTCTCCCTCTGGTTTAATGGAACGATCGCTTCATGAACCGAGGTGAAAATGTTCCTTGCGGGAAAGATGATGGGGATTTGTTATTTTTGTTTCTTCCGTCTCTCCATCTCGGGATGCTTAAGCAAGAAAACAGAAAGCTGCTCTCGTATGTTCTCTGCATGTGTTATGACTGGTCTTACTCAAGCAATCATACTGAAACACTTCACAGACCAATTTGTCACTTTCCTCTGTCTATCAAGTGCTGCCTGGCTTGGTAATTGTACACTTCCTACTGCTGCAGCTCCGAGTAACAAAAGATTTTCTCATCTGCTTTGGGCTTTAAAAGCTAAAGCAGACAATCACTAAGTACGTGATTGTGTTTTTTTTTTTTCAGGGGTGTGAAAAATAGCTTCTTCTGTGAAGAAAGCAATTGTTTCTTAATAGATAGATGCAGAGAATGGGAAAACGTCCAGAACAAATTTTATAGGAAGCCCTAACATCAGCGCTGCATCCTGGACCGCCACCTTCATGTCTTAATGCTCACAACTGAGCGGAATAATTTCACCTCCCTTTGTGATTCACACATTGTTAGGCAACGACTAGAAGCAGCTTCCAGCATTTATGACGGAGATGTTTAGTGAAAGAAGCTTTAGGTCTGCAAAATCATAAAATAGCTGGAAATTGCAGTTTTGGAGCAAACAATGCATTTTCTTGGCAACTGATTGTACAGATAATTATGCTGCCAAAGAGAACATTCATGTGCACAGGTGATGCAACATTAGCAATCTCATAATGTACAAGTGTCTCAGGACATTGGAGACGTTTCAAATGAACAATCTGTTTGTAGAGATGCAGTAAAAAAAATAAAGATTTCCTCTGGAGAGACAAAAAAGTATGACTGACCTCTGTAGGCTTTTCATTCATAATGTGGAGTTATAATGAACAATATGAAAATTAATTGTTGCATAAACATATCCAAAATTTTATACAAATGAAAATTAACAATGCACATTTTACTATTCTTTTTGTTCATTTCTAATTTTCTGGTTCATCTTTCTATCTATCTAAATATATATCTATCTATCTGGTTATATATATATATATATAGATAGATAGATAGATAGATAGATAGATAGATAGATAGATAGATAGATAGATAGATAGATAGATAGATAGATAGATAGATAGAAAAACAACCCTCCAACATCCCCCTGCATAGAAAGAATATTCTATTTCTCCTAAATTCTTGTTGCGTTTTCAACAGAGATGTTTCCAGCAACAAATTCCCTGCCCAGATCCTGCAAAAGACAGGCTGGGGGAGGGCGGCATGATTAAGATGCAGAGTGCAGAGGCCAGACAGTCGCAGTGACGTGGAACTCTGACAGCTTCGGAGCTAAAAAAAGAACAGGACCGGAAATGTCACAGGATGCATGCATTCATCCATCCACCGCCGCGGTCCTGCCTGCGATGGAGGCAGATAAACAGCGTGACGAACAGAGGAGTTGGGTGCAGATGTGCGTAGGTGCAGACACGTTTTATTGCTGCATTAGATCGCCAATCTTATGCAACAAAACCTTTTTATTATTATTATTTGAAAGAGGCATTAAAATGTAAACAAATGATGGACATTAAAAGGCAGCATAAAGGAGCACAAACCATGAGGTCATAACATATTCTATTATGGTTATTTGTTCAGAATCAAATTATTTATGAGGCTGTATTAAAATTGTGTCTGTTGCGGCAACTGTATAAAAATTACTGTATAGTTAGAATAATGTTGTAGAAGAGGTATCCTTAGAGAAGCAGCTGCTCAAAATTAATCTATTTGAATTTCCTGGCTGTCTTTTTATTATTATTATTATTATTATTATTATTATTATTATTAACATTAAAAGTAGCACTCTATTCCTCTGGATTTCAAATTCTATTAGAATAAAAACAAATGATTTTCAGTTAAATTACATGGGAATCACCAATAAAATCAAGAATCATATTTCATATCAATCAAGTGATGAATGTTTGCTACCAATTATCTAAAATGAAACAAAATACTCCAAAAAGAACTATGCTAATTTAAAAGTTAAGCGCTATCATGAGCTATTAAAGGTTGAACCTAAAGGAAGGGTTTTATTGGGCGAATTTTGATTCCTACTAGAGATGCACGACTTCGCATTACTATCTGTATCAGTCCCAATATTGAAATATAATCCTAAATCAGGAATTGATAACAATGAGCCTGATCTATTCAGCCTCATTTGAAAGTTGTTTTTTTTTTTTTTTACATGTTTGACTAAAGTAGCCAACTTGTTGTTTTGGTCAGTTTCAGCTTATTACTTATTTTACATTGACTGTTATACTCCTGTTCGCACTGACTGAACAAATTAAAGTTGTGTTTTTGTTTGACTTAGCTTGTGAAGATACTGATGTATTTAAGTGCGCTGCAGTGCTGCAGGGTTAGCAAACAAATTTGTAATTCAGCTACTTTTCCAACATAGGGGACTGAGTCATCACTCCACTCCCAGTCGTATGGCAGATCTTACTGAGTTGAAAAGAAGGTGATGGAAACACCATAAATCTTCACCAGTGCAGACAGAGCATCTGTGTAGTGCAGCACAAGATCAAGTGCCTTTACTCCTTTGCTGCTATGTTTGAGTAGCATTGTGAAATTTTGTAGCAATTCAGTATATATTGCATCTTACCTGTGATGTTGGTTTAACAAAAATTCATATATGCTACTGATGCTCGGCAAGCTAGGTTTATGTTTATGTTCGTGTTTAACTTACATTCACTTTGCATGAATGTTACCTTATTAACATCACTGAGTTCAAAATGCCATTTTTCTGACAAAGAAAATGTAAGTCTCAAAGACTTTTTGTGAATGACCTTGACCTTATTTTGAGATTCAATGATCATGAAGTTGCATCATTGACTTGTGTGTTTATCTGGGGAAGGAGAAGAAGATGACAGCATTGTTGTCCTTGCTCACTTATCTGTGAATCGTTTGATGTTTTCTTTCGGGAGAAGGTTAACTTGTTATGA